ATGCGGACTCCACGCGAAAAACAAGATTTTCGACTGTTGTATACCTATACGTCAGATCCCGCAAAATAGCAAAATATTTATCAACTTTTAAATCTAAATTTCTCCCATTTCCTTGTGTAAATTTTCTTTGAATTAAACCATGCAGCTTTTCTTGAAACAGCTCAACAAGTGCAATATTAGTAAAGGGTGTCCGTGTTAGAGATTTGGCACAAAAGTCAGGTTACATATCGTATTAGAGAGTGATCCGTACTGGAGAGGTGTTTGTATTGGAGAGTGCATGGTCTGTATTAAAGGCGTCCGTTTTAGAGACGTATCCCTATTAAAGAGGTATGCTAATTGTAAAAGTGTCCATTAGGACGCCTGCTGACGGCACTAAATTTCTGCTGCATGGACATTATTGTAACCTGCGTTTTCGGATGCTCATTCCTGGTGTTATTAAGTGTAGTTCAGTAAAACCCTCACCAAACACGCAAAATTAAGGTGCTCACACATTGTCGGATTGTGCGTGTTTAAGCCATCGAAATGAATATAACTGGATGATATACCAATGTCTCTCAATGGACTTCGAGTAATCGAATGATATTGAATCACAAATTTCAAAAAAACAAATTTATAAAAAATTACTCCAAGCGCAAATTTCCAGCTCTAGGCTCTTGTTCAATTGGACCTGACTCTTCTTGTATTGACGAAATTACATCGATCTGGCAAACTCTTAGGACTTACACTTGATAGCCACCTTGTGTGGGTTAATCAAATTGATAAGATATATAGCAAGATTTACTCAAGATTGTTTCTGTTCAAACGAAAACCAAGCTCTTCCTTTGGACTCTAGAATCAAATTTTATTTTGGCCTAATTTACCCTGATTTTATATATGGTATAACTATCTGGGGTAATGCTTCAAATAAACTACTCCATCCGTTATATTATTAGATTTGCAAAAACGGGCAGCGCGTCTAATAGGTAGGTAGGTATAGGTAAGTAGGTAATGCTTTATTTAAAATCAAAGAGGAAGTGGAACACGCTAGCCCCATCAACTCTGGGCTTAGCCTAGTTTCCATTGGGGGAGGGGCATATTAAATCTTAAAAAACGTTTAAAAGAAAATTAAATACTAAATATTAATTCACACATACACATATATGATATATACAAATAAATAGGAAGCATGTCGTTGTCCAACAATTGATTTAAATGAATGAAGGAACTCGGCCAATTTTGCTCCGTTTTGAGAGTTGATTCCAGTTTGGGAGTTGATTCCAGAGCATAGAACAAATTCTCGTTTCGGCTTAGGAGTTGTTAGACAGTTGCTGTATGTCGAAGATGATAATTAGTTTGATCAATTTCTCTTCTCACGAAGGATCCCGGAGACCCGGCGCAGTGTGGTCATTAAGTATTTTATATATTAATACTGACTTTGCACCAGACCGTCTATTTTCAAGTGTGTCCCAAGAAAGCATGTTGAGAAGATCAGCTGAGCAAGTATCATAATTAGCACCCGTTAGGACTCTTGTTGCACGAGACTGACATCTTTGCAACTTGTTTCTTAGCAACTTACCACTAGTATCCCAAAGGGGGGGGGGAGCAATAATCAAAGTAGGGCTTCGCAAGACTTTTATATGGTATGCATTGGGACAAATGGCTTTATATACGTTTCATAGCGCCAATAGGAGCACTCGCCTTCTTGCATATCATTTCAATGTGACTATCTCAATTAAGGTTTTCATCTAGTTTTACTCCTAGACACATTTGTGTAGCATTTCGTAATATGGGTTTTGCGTTAGCCACAACGAGTTCCCCACATATTACATTATTAAGATTATATGGGAGCCAATAAATATCATTTTACAGATGGATGAATCTGGAGTCGATTTTCTTTAAGCCAGTTACAGACATAGGCAAGATCTGAATTTAAACTTATAACAAGTTCGTTTGCATCGTAGGAAGATGAAAAGATTTGAGTATCAACCGCGTACATGCATGGATTAGTTAATTTCAAGCAATCGGGCAAATCATTAATATATAATAAGAATAGGAGTGGTCCCAGTATATATCCCTGGGGCACTCCACAGGTGATAATTTTATTACTAGATATTTCCCCGTTAACATTACATTGCTGTTCTGTGTGTCCCGTTAACATTACATTGCTGTTAGAGTCGGTGACCTCGACTTCGTAATTGATAGTAAAATATTTTTGTAATGCTTTCCAAAACATTACATGATAGAGGTGTGCATCGGATCGGATTGGACGTTTGTAATCCGACAATTGATGATTCCCCTTATTACGTTTTCGTAGCGCTTTGCATTGTCGTTATAGTGGTATCACTGATATTCAAGATGGCTTATTTTTTGTCCTGACCCGTGCAAGAACTTTAAAAAAAGCTAGGGTCAGGTGCGCGATAGCCAACAGCAAAATATTCGCGAAAACATTCAATATTTTCATTCGAGGCCGCTATCTTTATTAGTGATACCACTATAACCACAATGCAAAGCGCTACGAAAACGTAATAAGGGGAATCACCAATTGGCTAATGTTTAAAATTCGATCCGATCCGACATTGTCTAATCCGAATCCGATCCGAGTTTTGATAAAGAATTCCGGTCCGATCCGATCCGAAGAATCCTTTAACAAAATAAATTTTCATTCAAATGTAAATATTTTTAACCGAATAAATATAAAAGCAAGAAATACATGTCAAGAAGCTAACAAAGTGACGTCCAATTGAATTATCAAACGAATAATGCAGCGACAACCGCGTTGTTCTGGATAATTAATTCATTTTATTTCGAATATCGAAGTTCGATCCGATCCGATTACGAAACAATTTTATCAACCCGATCCAATCCGAAATGAATATTTTTGTTCTGAAATCCGAACGAATCCGATCGGATCGGATTCAAATTGGATTCGAATCGGATTTGCACACCTCTATTACATGACTACAGAGGAAAGGTTAACTTAAATATCATATGATAGAAGGATAAAATACGATAGTACCCACGCATAATAAGTGTATAGATTAGATAGTAACTATAGCCATAGTTAAATTCGGTTTGCTTTCAAACAAATAAGAATCTTTCAATCCCAAGCCACAGAACTTCTTTAAACTTGAACAGAATGCCTTGAATGTTCTGCAAAATGCTCGTAACATGTTTAAAGAGCAAACTTTCGTTAACAATGATCTCCCAAAATGAAATTGGTGCCATATTTTGCGAAAATATGTCCACTCATAATCCCCCGCTGGTATGCCCTTGAATTTTATCTCGTCCCTGAAGAAAAAGAGCCATGCTGGTAGTGACGATAGATTCTAGTCAATACAAATGTCGACTTATGATTGCACTATATATGAAAGAAAATGTTGCCATCATATGTTATTTGGTATATCGTCCATTAGCTACAATCTATAGCGCCAAAAGTATCTTGTAAAGGCTGTCATTACCCCCCAGTTAATCAATTCCTCTCATAGAGACTAAGTATGAATCGACAAGTGAACTGCGTACAGTAGCGAAAGCCAAATATTATTCTTATTAGAAGAGAAATTAACACAACAAATGATATGATTGCCATTGGCAAAATTACCACAATGTTTTCGACCAAATTGGAATATTTAAGTAAAGAAGAATTGGTGGTGGATGAGACTTCTCCGTCATAGCATAGACTCTTAATCATTGTGAGACCACAAAGAACGACATGGGTCCCTAAAGATATAGTTTCGAGGAGGTTATCACGACTTCTGTGGAAAGGCTTAACATACATGTGGGAAATAAGTATTACAACGCAAAGTGTTAAAACAACAATCATTTTAAAACGATAATCATAGATAAATGTGAGCACAATAATAATGGCAAGTCGACGAAATGTCAGAAAACCTTCCCAAGGAATTGGGCATCCCTGAAACCACTTTAGGGATTTATGAGCTCGAAATGGTCCAACGAGAACTCGAAGAATAGAGGTAGTGTTATCATTAATGGAAGGAACTACATCGTCAGAATTTAGTACTCCTTGAAGGCTTTGTTCTTCAACTGGTATACCAAGATCCCGTTCAAGAGAATCGTATCTTTTCAGGTAAAGCCAGTCCTTTAGAAACATGTACATCCAATAACAACAAAATGGCAGAGGGAAAATACAAGCCATGCAAAACTGTTGAACGCTAATTCGAGCAAATTTTAAAAGATATGAACCGAGAACAGGGACAAGACAGAAAGGAAGTATGGAAGAAATCATGTAACCAAGAAGAAAATATTGAAAGGTTTGATAACATTTTATATTACCATCAAGAAACAAAACTTGGTTGTCAGCAACTGGTACACAGTGAAGCAATGACAGACAGAGTTGAGTGGACGAAGCGTACATTAACAGAGATATATAAGTAAAAGCTGAGACAATACGCGAGATAAAACATGAATTGCAAGCTCTTGGTTGTTGGTTCATTGTGGGCGCACTAATATTTTGTTCTATTGCCCGACTTTGAGGTCGTCTTGAACGTTTAAGAAGAAATATGGATGTGGTAAAGATATAAAGAACACCAAGGAGTCCCACTAATGCATAACCTACAGAATGCAAAATCACCTGTTTATTAACAGGATGAAGATTAGGAAAAGGACATTCTAAAGAAGAAAGGCCAACAACAATGAAATTAAACACTTTGCCAACCACATATTCTAATGTATCAACGAATGTTTCGTGCTGATGCGAACCAACAGAATTCCTGAAGAAATGGACGACTTGATAGTAATAAAATAATATTTTTAGCATTCCACTGCCTTTCGATGAACGGTTATGGTTGGGTTCACTGTGGTGTAGATTTTCGTCTCTTCGTCTTGGAAGAAACGCAAGTTTCTTGATTAAGTTTACTATTTCTTCATGATATAAAAAGAACACTAGATATGCTGCGCAAAAGCAAAACGCCAGAGGCCAAGCTGCATCCCTGGCACATTCGTCATTTGGTAAGCACTCGGTTGAGAACAATGATTCCGACATGCTTTGAGGACATTTGCCACACATTGTTCCAGTCCTGTTTCCATGACAATTGTTATATGATTTGCAATGATTCGCGTCGCAGCAATAATCACGAGGACATTGAAGAAAACGAACTGATTGGTTCATTTTGTAACCCCAGAAGTTGGGTTTGGCTGTCAATATTCCTTCAATACATTGTCCACCATTAACACAATCATGACACTGGATTTGATTTGTAATATTGTTATGAAGCACTGCTCCTGTAATAGAGTACGTGTTTCTGGGGCATAATATGCATGTTACGGAAAAGTAAGCACATTCTATATATTTCTTATTTGTAGCCTCTTGGCAATATTTGTTACTAGATGCTACGACATACCCAACCGGGCATAAAACCTTTAAGTCTCCACGTAACCGAAGATTCCTTGCACCACCAATGGGTCTGTTTGCCGTAAATGTTATAATACTGCGCTCTTTATTCAAACGTGTCACATTTATTGTATTGTTGCTATAAAAGAAAACCTTGTGCATATTCTCTGCAAATATCTGAGTTGATGACGAGCTTGCTTGAGAGTTTTCAAAATAGCAGTCCTCAAATATCACAACTACGGGTTTGTCAGACCGCACAAATATCACAGCATCGTACGGGTTAGAACCCCCAGTATTGTCAACGAAATTACATTGAGAAATGAGGTATTTTCCATTTCCGAGTCGAATAAAAGGCCAATAACTTGGGGGTGTTATATATCCTTTTAGAAAAGTGTTATTACTGAGAACCAAATTAGGACCTTTTAGTCTGCTGTTTTGTCCCTTAAATAGTATGTACAAAGCTGATGTAGTATTTTTGAATACGGAATTCTTGATGCCAACTTTGAATACTGTGCCCCTTATATACACTGGGATAAGACGAACTATCGCTCCCGTGCAGTAGTTGTTTTCAAAGGTAAGTTTGTTTAAATTTATGATCGTTTGCCTTCGCTTTCTAAATTCGGCTCCGTGAATGTCTAGCGTTGATACCCGTGAACCTTGACAGTCCCCCATTTGATCTCTAAATACAGATAACTCGACAGTAACGTTCACAACGGCCGAAGAAGAAGACATTGAAAACAGGGCGTTGCATTTTTGTTTTTGTTGTCCATAAAAGTCACACCGGGAAACAAAGACCTCAGTAAATTGCCAACGTACGTGTTTGCTATCAGCAAATGTCCGAAGAGTTACCGGACTTGTTAGAAACGTATTTCCTACGAGTTGCGCAGTGAGATTGCGACAACTAGTCACAATTGATGAACTGGATGTACCTCCGTGAAACGTTGAGTTAAAAACATTGATCGAACAAAATGTGGTTGATTTTGCTGAAACAGCAGTGTAATACTTTCTGAAAACACATTGATATAGTAACAATTGAAACTTGAAACAGTTGAAATCTTTTTCACAGCTAATTAAAATATCAGATGTAGATAATATTAGGTTTGACATGAAAATTCTTGTCGGATTCAAAGTTGTACTCTGTATACGAAAAAGCACCAAACCTTTTCGACATTGTATAGTTGCTGTTCCATTGACACCAGTCAGCGAAAGAGATTTGTTTAGTTCAATAACTGATGATGAATGTGGAAAATTGTCACATTCACTAAAAGGCTTGTTCTGCGCATGATCAATAAGGATCTCGTCACCGGAAGTGGAGACAAGTACCGCGTAATTTACAGTACGACATGGAGTTGTCCAGTTTCCGCAACCAAGCACATCCACTCCATCATGATTGACAAGCAATGACTTCGTAAGCACACAATGACAACCTTAATTAAGATCAGAAAATATGATTCAAATAATAAAAGTCAAACCCATTTTAAAAGACATTGGCAATAAAAAATATAGTTTGCCTCTTTTAAAAGAACTTAGAAATTATTTATAAATTCATGTTACTAATTTTTCAAATCAAGCATATGTCTTTGAACACGTTGGCTGAAAGCAATGAGCTATCCGCCTGCATCTTGGATAATTTCTGACCTGGTTAGCTACGGTATTTCTAGAGTGGGGTAGCCTCGTAAAATTATTTCTAAGTTACGTCAAAAATATTTCAAAAATCAAGCAAAATATGAAAAAAAACTGTAAAACGTCTTTATTAATTAATTATTTTGACACGACTTTCGAATACGACAAATTAATTTTTAATTGCCAATTGCCCAATTTGGATATTTCTCCCAAACGAAACGCTCTTTTAATAAATAGCTCTTCTAATATTAATGAAATGGTATAATTGTCACATTAATTAAGAAGATGCCTCTTTTAATTAAGCAAAAACATTTATGAAGTATTTCCAGTTAAATCATAGTTAGCCCAGCATCTAGGCGTGTTTTAAATGTATTTGACTAAAATATTCTAACATTTATTAAAACTGTTTAAAATTAATATGGCGACAATGCTTCCATAACAATGCATTTTTGAAGTTCTAGTTGCGTTGCACGTAGTACTAGGCTACATGTAGATGTAGCCTAGTAGTACGTGCAACGTAAATAACTGCCGAACTATTAAGTTAGGTGGTCTGGGACAATATTTTTGTGAAAAAGTCAAATTTTCGAAACAACCATATTATCCATTATTGATCATTGCTTTTTCAATTCACGGCGTTATTTTTTTTATTTGCGCGAAGAAAACTGGAAAATATTGAAAAGTATATAATTAATTGTTTATACAGTAGTTTTGGCCATAAGCAACCACCATACCACCGATATCCTGTTGAAAAACCGTCCAATAGGTTAATTTAAATTTGCATATTTTACTCGGAGTAAATCCCTAGCCTCCCCTCCCCTATAGTCACTCTTTTATTGCTTGTTATACCAAGTATTGGCCTTTATATCGTAGACAAATTCTCAAAAACATAATCGGCGGCCATCTTTAAACAGCAATTTTTAAAAGCTTCTTTACAAGATTATTTTACAAGTCATTCTATTTACAAAATGGCAAGATCACGACTAGTAGGAAACGTAGATGTCAAGGGGATCAACATGTTGTGTCGAAGCGAACAAAACTAAGCAAAAATTCCCCTCAAAATGTACCAAGTACACCATCCAGTCGTTTTCAAGAACAAGATGAAAGCTCTTGTAATGCATCGCAGTCGGCCTCGGCCAGGAAAATTGGTGAAGTTGGTGATACTTCAGTGCCTACAGTGAACGGAAAAAAAAGTAGGTGGCTATCGTTTTATTGATATTTCGATCCTGTGCTCCATATTCCAAATGTTGCCATGCAAGAATTGTTTCAAATGCCAAATAATATTGATGTATGACAGTTCTAAACGAATGGTCTGTGCTTCATGTCCCTCTCTTACATGTAACTCGGGTGGATGGGCTGAAACCTTTTATACCTGAGAGAAAAATGGGCATTGTTTTGACGTAAATCGAAGAATGGTATATGCAATGGGGTAAATTGGTTGTGGGCAATCTCAATGTCTCGGTTCTGTTCTGTTCTACCATGAACATGCCCGTACCACAGGTTGTCTCAAAGCCATTTAGGAAGCACACGAAAGCGATATTGCGGGCTGCAAAGGATGTTGCTGCACAAACAATAAAGGATGCCGCACAGGATATCTATGAGTCTAAGAATGAGGACGGTGAAGACATTGTGGAAACTGCTGTTTCATGCGTTGAACATGGCAAAGAAGGGGATTTTCCTGGTTGCCCGCATACGTAACCGTGATTTCCATGGAAAATTGAAACATTTTGGACGTAGAACCCTTGACCAAGGTCTGTAACGCATGCAAGAAGCATGAAGATGATGCTGATACAACTGATCATGAACTATGCAAAGCTAAGCATCAATCAAAGTGTAAAGCAAATTACAGTGGATCATCACCTGCAATGGAACTGGAAGGGGCTAGACGAATCTTCAATCGTTCCGTCAGCAGACATAATCTTCAGTGCACTGAATTTTATGGAGATGGTGATAACAAGAGTTTCAGTGCTGTTGAGGATATATCTGAGAAAGACGATGGCGTGGTTGTTCGAAAAACGAATGCGTGAGTCATGTCCAGAAGCGACTTGGCACTGCGTTACGGAAGCTGAAGAAGGAGACAACAGGGCTTGGTGGGAAGGGAAAACTGACAGATAGCATGATAGATAAACTGCAAAACTATTATGGTATTGCCATAAGGAGCAACAGTGGTAATTTAGAGTCTATGAAAAAAGATAATCTTAGAAGTTTATGGCACTGTGCATCTACAGACAATGATCTCTTCCACAGTGCATATTGTCCTCCCGGTGAAGGTAGTTGATGAGGATACATGCAAGATAACGCAAAGAAGACCAGCACTTACAAACATGGCAAGGGTTTACCTATACCAGTTTCCACTGCTCTGAACCCCAATTATGTAAGGCTCAGTGATGACAACTTCCTGAGGAAGTGTCTAGACGGCAAGACGCAGTACCAGAATGACTCATTCAATGGGATGATTTGGACGCGCATTCCAAAAACAGTGATTATTGGTACAAATGCATTCCAATTGGGTGTTTATGATGCTGCTGCTCATTTCAACATTGGTGCCAAAGTAGCTATTGAAGTCTTCAAAGCCCTTGGGATAAGTCCAGGAGCTTCTTGTGCTGCTTTAGTACGGGAAGCCGATCGACTTGGTGTTGCGAAATCTATCCACAAGGCGGAGGAAAAGATTAAAGTGCGGAGGAATGTCATCAGCGGAAGAAATAAAAGGACAAGAATGGTGACAAGAATGAAGAAAACGAGGGCAAAACATATACAGCAGGTTCATTACTCTTTGATGTACTTTATCTGTTTGAATGTAATTTGTTTGTCTTCAAAAGTTATGTCGCAACGTTGAACTCGATTTTCTCAAAATTACTTTTCACCGAAGTCGGGACGCTCTCTCTTGTTCGATATTAATCCAAATTTGATCAAACTTTTAGAATATAATTATTGTAAATAAATCTCAAATGTGAACCTCAAAAATCCTATTTATCATTATAATATTTCTATAAAAAAATTTCTTTGTCTACAATGAATACCCAATTTTTGCCGATTTCGAAAAAAAATTATTTGTTTTGACGAAATCTTATCAAATGTATTATTTTTGGAGGTTTGCATGTTTAATACATCTATTGGCTTTCCATCACACTAAACTGTATACTTTGATAACCATTATTACTCTTGCTATCATGTCCCAACGGACATGGAAGGGCGTGGCTAATGTTGTAACATGCATGGAGAAAATATAGCCCAACGAAATTTTCAAATTTCATATATAAATCATAGGTGTATAGGCCGGAGGGGGACACTGCCCCCCCAAATGTTTACGGTCGGACAGAAAACCATGCGTGATTCGGGCAAAATATAAAATTTTCGGAAAAATTATGTTATGCCCGGAAAAATGTTTGTATGCATTCGAAAATTAAAGTATATAGGGGAAAATGTTTTTGGTATATCCGGAAATTTTTTTGTATGTTTGCGAAAAATATGGGATATTAGGGAAAATTTTTTGGTATGTCCGGAAAAATTTTGTTATTTTTGCTAAAATTACGGTATATTACGGAAAATTTTTTGATATGCAGTCCGGGGAAAATTTTTTGGTGACCTACTCGCCAAAAATTTTGGAAAGAAATATTAATTCACCTATTCAGCAATAGCGACGCCATCTTGAAATTCCAATTCGGCGCAATGCATGCTGGGTTATCCAGGGTCGAAGACAAACATTTCAGCACGATTTATCGTCGGTATTTATGGTTTTTGTCGACTAAACTATGGAACTTGTTACGTGAATGGGGAAATATGATCGCTGTGCAATTGGAAAATGCAACAACGCTCGAGCATATAAGGAAAACTATGTGATAAAACCTCATATCGGGGCCTTTGATGGGAGCTTACAACTTCGGTTCTGGAAAAGCACTGACCCCAAATTGTACGCCTAGTGGACTTTCAACTGTAACCGTTGGGGTTTTAAGGTAAACAAACACACAGTTGTCTGCTCCAATCATTTTAAATATTGAAGGCCCACAAAGTTGAGTCCATTGACCAATTCCAACCCTGTACTTGAAAGGATTCGAACCAGACGATACAGACACAAAACAAGTCAGGAGAGTACTGAAAAGAAGGAGTATCGAAGAGGTAGGATGTGTGAATACACCATTCAAGAACAAGTCAGCCAACACTATCCTCTGGAACTAAAAAGAAAGTACCTACCGGTAGTACTTGTACAAATGATGATGCAAAAGTGCCCAGATCATTAAAGAAAACAATGTCATGGGATATGATTAAAGGAAGGAAACGCCTGTTAAAATTTTATACTGGGTGTCCAACTGCAGAAATATTTATGTTTATTGTTGACCATGTTCGACCAAAACATAAAAAACTGCAATATTATCGTGGTTCGTCATTCACTACATCAACACCCAAGAAATACCAAATAAGCAGCCTCGTACCCAGGCGCTTTGGTTTGTTTACGTCATTAAGCGCACGTGGGACGGCACGCGAGGGAGAAAAATGGAATTCGGCGGGAAGTGCACGTGGGACGGCACGCGAGGGAGAAAAATGGAAAATTGCCGGCGGGAAGCGCCTGGTAGAATTCGCATTCAAAATGGCGGGTCAGTGTTCTGCAAGTGTTCTATATTATTTATATTATTATTGAAATGACATTGTTTACAGCAAAATACGTGTTCGTACATTGCCATTACTCTTAAGAGTGCAATATTTAACTTAAACTTTTAATAGTTTGCCTTGTTCATACTGTTTTAATATTAACTATGCAGTCACTACAGCTAGTGTCATGATTTTGCTGTTTTTGTTCATTTTCAGTTCTATATCACGCATTGTAGTTATCGTATTAACCTCAAAATTTGTAGTTGAGATACAAAATTTGATTTATTTGTCAAGATTTGTATAATTTAGAGCCATATGGTTCGAATATAGCCATATATAGTAATATAGGTATATTTTGACCTTGGCTAGGCCAGGTGTTGTCGTGCGGATATATCGCTTTTTATTACTTGCCAATTCATGTTTTATTTGGAAATCACTGGTTATTTTGAACCTAGTTATATTTCTCGTCATTTTAATCATTCTCATCATGTTTTAAATCCAGTATATTAAACGTAAATGACTGTACTACACTCTACAGGACGACACGAATATCTATTGTTGTGACTGTTTACAAATATAAACTGTTTGCCGCCGCCTATAGGCCGCCGCGTTCTTTGAGAGTTTGAGCCTCTTGAGATCGGTATTCTGATGCCTTTCGTCATATTGCAATGAAATTTCTGTGACATATTCAATCCATAAAGCGATTGAAACAACGAAGGCTACGTAGATTCACTCCAAAACGAATTTACACTAGGCTGTTTGATAATATAATTATATAGTAATTTAAAATACCCGACTTTGTGTAGTTTAAATAAGCACGATATTCGCAAAAATTTACATTCAACAGTTATTCTTTTGAAAGATTCATCAATGTCATACAGTTTTCAATGAAAAGTGGTATTTCAAACCTCTAAAAATCCGGTTTATTGAGTCCGCTCCAGAAATCGCAATCCGCTCCAGAAATCGAAACGGATTCTGCCAGGCGCCTCACCACGAAATCGATCAAATTAATCCACGCGGCCCACGCAAAGGCCGCGCAAGCCTAGAACAACACATAGCGCCTGGGTACGAGGCTGGAAAACGCGCTCGTCCGTACCCGGCTAAAAAATTATATATTTAGTGATACTGATAGGGAATGTCTATCCTGGAGCAAACCGCAAAACAGTGATATTTACGTTTTACTTTTAGAAGCATTGAAGAGATACCATAAGTCGCGTAAAGCGATGGAGAAGAGAGTTGCCAATGAACGACATGAGAAGCATGTTTGTACTTGTATGTTATTAGTTTATAACGCTGTCACTTAATTTGTCAGTAATCTTTTATTAAGAAGAACATCATTCACCGGGGATAGAAACAATTATCAAATTGTTGCACGTAGAGGGTACTGAGAGAGTTAAGATGCCTATTTTTACAACAAGAATTTTTCATTTAAGAATTGTTACACCACACAATTTGTCTCGCAACTTAATTGTCTCCGCGCAATTGTGTTAATGAACCTTTTTTAAAAGTCTGCCTTGTGACGTACTTTGCGGATAAATACGATAATTCAACCAATCAAAATCAATCAAAAACTTTATTCTAACACGGTGAAATTTGCAGTATAACATTTTACAAGATAATTAACTAACATACTGATTTACAAGATTGCCGTACAGGAGTCCATCTCATATAGAGAACAGATTGTCAATTGACTTAGGGAGCATGTTGCTCGTACATTTTGTGGTAACTCGTTCCATAAAACTGCCCGCAATAACTGAAACTTCGCTTACCGTAGTTCGTTCTTGGTTTTGGTACAAATAAGGTGTGTTCAGAGTTTCTTGAGTTATATCCTGTGCTGCGAGATTCGAACAATTCGTGGAGATAAAACGGAGTTAGATCGTTAATTGTTTTAAACAATAGTAATTAAGCTTTTTCCGACGTGTTAAAAGATTATCCCAGCCCAGCTTACTAAAAAGGTCGCTGGAACTAGCATCATATTGAGATTTAGCGATGACCCTCACTGTCCTATTTTGCAATTTGTCATTTAACGTGATATTCAAACCATTCCAAACTGAGCTACGATAATCAAAGTGCGGTTGAATTAATGCTCCATAAATTTTCAGAGCAGCGTTTGTATCTATAAATTGGCGTATCCGTTTAAGAGCTCCAATAACTGATGCAATATTTTTGGAAATATTTTCGAAGTGTCGTGTCCATGTAAGATGCTCATCGATTTGCAAGCCTAAGGATTTCGTTTCGTTGACTCTCTTAATTGTCTTTCCGTCGATTTCTATCCTTATGTGCTCGTGATCATGTACTAGTAATCTTTGACGAAATCCTATTATCATGAATTCCGTTTTAGCTTCGTTAGCTAGTAATCTTTGACGAAATCCTATTATCATGAATTCCGTTTTAGCTACGTTAATTATAGACTCAGTCTATTAGCTAGTAGCGATTGATGAAGATTTTTCAATTCAGAGTTTATTATTTGCTCAAGCTCCGTGACGGAATTTGCTGCGATGCTAATATTAGTGTCGTCAGCAAACTTTCTCGGAAAGGCTTTGTCGAGACAATTAGGCAAATCATTTATGTATATTAAGAACGGTAGAGGTCCCAAGTTACTGCCTTGTGGTATCCCACAGGTTATTATAGCAGTTTCAGATAACTCACCATTGTTATTGCCTTGTGGTATCCCACAGGTTATTATAGCAGTTTCAGATAACTCACCATTGACACAACATCTTTGACTTGCGGTTGCTTAGGTATGATTCGAAGAATTTGATACTATTTTCAACAACGCGTAAATTCGTAACTTCCGTAAAAGAATGGTGTGATCAATAGTATCAAATGCTTTTTTAAGATCGATAAAAGTTAATCCGTTAAGAAGGCCTTTATCTATATTTATTGATAATTTGGGCAATCATGGAAGCCAAATGGCTGTGCGGGGTTTTCCTTTATCCGGAAACTACGTCACAAGGCAGCCTTTTTGAAAAGGTGTATTGTGTTTGCGTATCGTGGCCCGTTAGGGACACGCTTGATCCGTAAAAAATCACATTCGTTCTGTGTACTTGAAATAGTTTTTCTTAATAACAGAACGTTTCTCTATCAATGTGCGGCGTTTCCATAGAAAATTCAGACGACTTCCGCAAACATATAGACGCTTTCCGTAGAAATATAAATTTCTTCCGTACAAATGTAGATGCCTTCCATAGTCATCTTGTACATGCCTTCCATACAAATGTAGACGCCTGCCGTTGGAATCTAAAACTAATGCGCGCGCATAGTCTGCTAACTAAGCTAACTTCATGCAGTTGAGCTATATTATGCAAAATCACGGCATGTGTGCACAGTATACGCACGAATTTGCTCATCCAAATTGCAACTTTGGCCAAATGGCGGTCATAAAACAACAAGGGGCCATTTACAAAGGATGTCCAGCCAAATGATGGATTTTCAGCCCCCCCCCCCTTGTCCGGCATTGTCCGAACTAGTGACCCTCCCTCCCCCCCGGACATCCGCCATGCCTCGCAAAAACTCACGCAACCTTGTATATGCCAATAGTAAAAAACTTTTTTTACTTTTAGAACTTTTTTATAACTATAAATGTGAATACAAAAAGATATAAATTACTAACTAAAACAAAATCTAGTATTAACCGCATTGTCAAAATGCCAATTTCACAATGGTAAGAAGAGCTCGAAATAGAGGAAAAAGAAACTTGTTTTTGAATTTTTTAAAATTTCGACATCCGGATTGCTAAACCCCCTATGTCCGAGTTTGTCCTGATTTTCCAACCCCCCCCCCCGACTCGGACATCCTTTGTGAATGGCCCCCAAGTAAGATCGTACAATCAATTGTACTATATGACAAATGTTTGGTGTGATGTAAATGGTCGCTTTGTTGTTTTTAGTCACGGAAATTAAAACTCCACAATAAAATGATGGGATACTATAATTCTATAATATCCCACGACAGGCATGGGATACTATAATATCTGTGCCAGTGCAGGTAGTACCAATGTAAACTCGCGGAAATGTGTGCGTATCTTTCTAGCTGAAATAATAAGCAGAAACTCGACGTTTCAAGCAAAGGCAAAGGCCCTTCGTGGCTTCGTCAACAGAGTTGGGGTAGGAGAATATCCCATGCCAGCACGCGCCGCACACGTGGAAACCTCGTGCCTAGATGGGAAAATAAACAAACTGCATGATAACGTTTAAGTTTTCTGTATTATATGTCATTTATATAACCTTCACTTTGGAAATTGACAAAATGTTTCGCTACATATTAAGTGATATTTCCCTTGGACAATGCCCTCGTTCTGGTTACATACATGTAAATGTAAATATAACTACGATATTTAGTAGTAGGTGAAGTATTAAGGTCAAAGTTGTCCTTATTCCGGGTTTGAAATTTGCAGTATCTCGCTATCCACAGGATACCAAAAATTCAGTTTCGGATACCAAACCGGCTTCTAATAGATTTTGAATATTATCAGTTTATTGCCACCAGTCTTTACTCATTGAGGACTACCATATAGAAGTTTCTTGAAGGATTATGTGCGTTTTAGATTGTTAATGAATTGTTTAGTTGTTGAATGTTGAGTCCCTGTTGTCATTGTAATTTGTAACAAAGAACGTTATGGTCCAACTTATTTGGATGGGTATATTTCGGATGGTATAATTCTTATATGGCACCGATAACCAGTATCCATGAAATGGGATGCGGGATTCTTGGCGAGATACTCAACTTTGAATCCTGGTATCCTTAAATTTGGTATGTGGTTCTTTTTGCCTCTAGTCTGCAATAACAATAACATGCTTTAAAAGGTTTATTTATGAAAAGCTGACTGCATTTTGTTAGTTCTATATTATCATAAAGTGTTGATTTATTAGTAATAAATCTGTGTATATAAATGAATATAACGCAGCGAATGCGCCAAGTAGTATAAACGCGGCTGAAATACGATATTAAAATCGTGAATGTGCGGTATGATTTAATTATGTTTTAGGATTTAATTTAAAAATGCTTTGTCATAATGTACTTATACTTTTACTTGTACTGCATTACAAGGCAGTGCGTAAGTGAACAGATTCTACATGTCAGGTTGTCTTGTATATATTTTGCCTTATTTGATATACATTATTATTAAACATTTTGGATGATTCCAATTCATTACAAATATTTCTTATTCTTAAAATATTAAAGATTTTTGGAACAATGCTATATCGGTTATACCAAAGCAACATTCACTACCCTGTGGGTAAACTAGTATAGATTTATAATATCCCATGACTAATTTTGAATTCCGTGACTAAAAACAACAAAGCGTCCATTTATATTACATCACACCAAATATTTGTCATATACTACAATTGATTGTACGATCTTACTTGCTTTATGACCACCATTTTGACAAAAATTGCAAATTGGAAGAGCGAATTCGTGCGAACACTGTTCACATGCCGCCATTTTGCATAATATAGCTCAACTGAAGTTACTATAGTTACCACACTACGCGCGCGCATTAGTTTTAGATCTCAACGGAACCCGTCTACATTTGTATAAAAGGCATGTACAAAATTTTGATGGAATGCATCCACATTTGTACGGAAGAAATCTACATTTGTATGGAAGCGTCTATATTTCCGCGGAAGTTGTTTGAATTTTCTACGGAAACGTCGCACAACTATACGGAAACGCTCGGTTATTAAGCAAAACTACTTCAAGTACACAAAACGAATGTGATTTTCCACGAAACAAGCGTGTCTCTAACGGGCTACCGAATATGCGACACAAGTTGCAAGACAAATTGCATAGTGTACAAATTTTTAAATGAGAAAGTGTAACGACAAGAAAACATTGAAATTGATTACATGTATAAGATAAGGTATTGAATTACAGTTTTGAGCATGGAATTAAGCGCAAATTTCGAAAGTCTGTCATTCAATCGAGTCGATGGCTTAGCAAGGACACGCCAAAGAAATTCTACAAAAAAAGAATGGGCGCCTAATATTTCGCGTTATAGCCATATATAGACTTTGTAATTCTGTTGCTGACCCAAAACACAGCAAGAATCTGAAGGAGGCAGTCCGAAACAATCTTTCGCAACGCAGAGACAATTTTTGTTGGTGAATTGCGACAAGAAAGCGACTTTCTTCATCAGATATGTGTGTTAGGCTCGTTGCTACAAGTCCTTGTAAATTATATGTATCAAGTTGTGCTTCAAATCTTTATTAGTACTGTTTTACAATCTAATAGTGGTTATACACTTTTTTTCTTTTCAACTTTCCAGGACCGCCAGGTTCACTCAAGTTCCGTACCAATACTCTATCGCCGGGCTGTATTAGTGAACTCCGTCCAAACGATCACAGTGTTTCTTCGCTTTATCACCTTTCTCTTTTGTCTTTCGTCCAGCCAGCCGATATGCCTCGTGCATGGCGTTTTCCCACTCTGACACGTACTGGAGGATTGGTCTTGCTGGTGATTACTAGGTTGGGATCGAGCAGAAAGTTGATTGTTAGTCGGGTTTGTCGTCCAAAGAGGAGAAAGAATGGTGAATAGCCGGTTGTGTCGTTCCGTGTACAGTTGTACGCATGTACAACCTTCTTAACATGGTCTTTCCAGCGTGACTTTTAATTTTCAGGGAGTGGTCTGAGCATGTCTAACAGCGTCCTATTAAATCTTTCCACTTGACCGTTGCCCTGCGGATGGTAAGGGGTCGTCCGGGAATGCTTCACGCCACAAACTTGTTCCAGCATACCGAGGAGTTGATTCTCGAATTCCCCACACTGGTCGTGGTGGAATTTGGCGGGAAACCCAAAACGTAACACGAAATCATTGTAGAGCTTCTCTCCAACGGTTTTTCCAGCTTTGTTTTGAGTCGAGTAAGCTTCCGCGTATCGTGTAAGGTGACCCACGATCACCATGATGTACTCAAAACCCACCACTCGACTTCTCCAGATATATGAACAAAGTCGATTGACACCAACTCGAATGGCGAAGTAGTTATAATCGGTTGCAGTGGAGCTCGTATTTTCAGCCGTGGATGTTTTTGTTTCACACAGCGACACAAGTTCTTTACGCAATGTTTAACGTCCCGTTAGTTACGAGGCCAGTAGATCCGATCTCTGGCTAGATATAGAGCACGATCAGAACCAAGATGATCCATGTTGTCGTGCAGTTCTCTTAGTACCATTGCGTGGTACTTTCTGGGTAGGACTATTTGGTCGTGTGTTCCTTTCTTTCGCTTTAACACCCTGTCTGAACCAGTTGATAGTCTCTGCCATTCGTGGAGAAGCGATTGTGTGTCGGTTGATTCACGGGCTCGCTGACTTGTCGTAGGTCGCTTGTCTGCTTTGATAAAGGAGTGCACTTTACCAATAATACTAACTTCGATTTGAGCTTGTCGTATGCCATCAACTTCCAATGTTGATCTGTTGCTCTTTAAAGTTCTTGCTGCGTCGACATTTAGGATAGTTAGATCGTTGATCAGTTGATCGTTTGGATTATTGTCCGTAACTCGTCTTGTGTCGTTTCTTCAGTACATAGTTTCATGTAGTTGTCCATATCTTTTGGCATTTGAGATAATGTGTCGGCATCAGCGTTTGCTTTGCCAGGTCGATAACGAATGATGAAGTTGAAATCTGCTAACTCTCCTACCCACCTAAGTCCTGTTACGTTTAATTTGGCCGTAGACGAGACATATGTCAATGGATTGTTATCGGTGAAAACAACAAAACTTAGCTCATAGTAAAGATAGTCTCTGAACTGTTCGAAAATAGCCCACTTTAGAGCGAGAAATTCTAACTTGCCGGAATGAAGTGGTAGTTTTTCTTAGCTGTCGTTAACAGGGCGAAGGGAGAGAGGGCGTAGAAACGGCCATACATCGAGCGGACCCATCCGTGATGCGGGCTTCGCGGGGGGTAAGACGTTCTAATTGTAAACAAATATGGCTACGCGTATATGACCCATCAGAAGGTATGCTGAAACTATTGCTTTATAAAATATTACTTGTGTAAAATTTATATGTTTTTGTTACTTTCAGCTACTATAAGAAACTTAAAGATAAAATTTAAGTAACAAAAAACTTTATTTCGGGTGTTATTTTATTTATATACTCTGTTTAATTTGGTGGTTAAGAATGGCCGTCGAAATGTTGTCCGAGAGTGTTAGCGCGCACTGCTTCCTGATAAAAAACCAATGATTTCCAAAACCTAAATTATAATTTGTTATTAAGTTATGATGAAAACCTTTGCGTATTCAAAATTATAGAGTGAGCAAACATGAGACAGATAGGTTTTGAACATTTCAAAGTTCGAGGTCGAATTGACAGTTGAAATAGTACCAAATTCCAAGCTGAAATGTGCAACTAAATCGTATATATTTTTGTCAATTTCGTTCGCTGGCTTTGTTAAATTCACTTGTAATGGCTCGACATAAGTTACAACATACAAACTGAGCAGAGCCCATGAAAGAGCTATCCATGGTCCATATCCATACAGTCATTCAGCTTCCTTGCTATTTAGAAATTGTTGCCCATTAGTTGAAGAAGAATTGCTATTGTATGCGCTTGTTTGCACTTCCTTTTCTGAAAAAAGTCTGCAATATTAAGGCTAAATAGCAGAAAAATATGACTCAATAATCCATGCAATTAAAAAGATCTATCAAATTAACTTCAAAAATCATGATTTGAGGAATTATATCTATTCAGGCAATCAACCCATAATTTAGTGACAGATCTTGGGATTGGTGTACTACAAAACTATATTGACTGAAGTTTTGGAAAAATTTAGCCAACTTTTGAAGGATTTTATTAGGATTTTATTATATTAACTGGGACCATTTCGTTTTGGTCATTAGATTATATATAATATTAACCGGGACCATTTCGTTTTGGTCATATTATATATAATAGATGTTTACATGAGGTCTCAAGTCATTCCACCTGCTGGACCAAGCCGACTGACTCAGATCAGTATGAATTCAGACTGGAATGAATGTTGACATTGGAACAAGTGAACAACACATGCTAACAAAAGTCATCTAAAAAAGAAAATTGCCTGGCAAGGGGAATAAATTGAAAATTTTGTGATTTTCATACTGGTCTCATGTAAACATGTTGACATGCAATTTCAATTTTCCAGGTTGGTTTCATCCTGGTCTCGTGTAAAAGGGGCCTTACAAACTGTGATTCAGTATCATGGGATGAGATTAGGGGCCTGTTTATATGATCCCGGCCAGGCGGGACGGGATGCTTACCGAGATCCCGCTCGTAATACAAATGCTAAAGAGTGTTTATATGATCCCGCCACTTATCCCGCCTAGACTGGATTTTGGCAACAGATGCCGGGATCCTGCCTAAGCGAGATGAAAAATTCCCATATAAAAACACTTCATCCTGCCTAAGCGAGAGATGAAAAATTCCCATATAAAAACACTTCATCCCGGTTAGGCGGAATGAATTTTTCCCTTTTGGGCATGCGTAAATGCCTTTATTGCAACAAAAATATGACGTCAAGCACCGAATGGTTTCATCCCGGCAATGTATTTTGTCCATATAAACACTAGGCGAGTATCCTGTCTTGGCAGGATGAAAACGTCCCATCCCATCTAGGCGGGATCATATAAACAGGCCCAAGGAATTGAAAGATTTTATAAGCGAGCAATGCTTAAAAGCAAGATATATAAACAATGAAAGAAATGGCACTAACAGAGCCACAACTTCTCCAGAAGTGTAAAATTCCATGATACTGAATCACAGTTTGCAAGTCAATCCTTTAAAATTTAGTTAAATGTTTCCAAAACTTCAGTCAATATAGTTTTGTAGTACACCCATCTTAAGGGTTCCTTTCAGCTTTCACCTTGCCAAGACCTGTCACTAAATTATGGGTTGCCTGAATAGATATAATTCCTCAAATCATGATTGGTCATGATTTTTGAAGTTAATTTGATAGATATTTTTAATTGCATGGATTATTGGGTCATATTTTTCTGCTATTTAGCCTTAATATTGTAGACTTTTTTTAGGAAAGGAAGTGCAAACAAGCGCATACAATAGCAATTCTTCGACTAATGGGCAACCATGCACTTCTAAAATAGCAAGGAAGCTGAATGACTGTAGGGGTATGGATTGCTTTTTTATGGGCTCTGCTCAGTTTGTATGTTGTAACTTATGTCGAGCCATTGCAAGTGAATTTAACAAAGGCCAGTAAACAAAATTGACAAAAATATACACGATAAAGTTGCACATTTCAGCTTGGAGTTTGGTACTATTTCAACTGTCAATTCGAACTCGAACTTTGAAAGGTTCAAAACCTATCTGTCTCATATTTGATCACTCTATAATTTTGTATACACAAAGGTTTTCATCATAACTTAATAGCAAATTATAATTTAGGTTTTGGAAATCATTGGGTTTTTATCAGGAAGCAGTGCGCGCTAACACTCTCTTACAACATCTCGACGGCCATTTTTAAACACCAAATTAAACAGAGTATAGAAATAAAATAACACTCGAAATAAAGTTTTTGGTTACTTAAATCTTATCTTTAAGTTTCTTATAATTGCTAAAAGTAACAAAAACATATAAATTTTACGCAAGTAATATTTTATTAAGCATAGTTTCAACATACCTTCTGATGGGTCATATACGCGTAGCCATATTTGTTTACAATTAGAACGTCTTACCCGCCGCGAAGCCCGCATCACGGATGGGTCCGCTCGATGTATGGCCGTTTCTACGCCCTCTCTCCCTTCGCCTTGGTCGTTAACGTGCGGGAACCGTAAGCGATGACACGTAGAATCTTATTCTGTTGTTGGTACAGTACAGCGCCCAAACCGCGTTCGGATGCGTCGGTGTGCAAAACGAAGGAAGAATTAGGTTCAGGGTAAGCCATTACTGGAACGTTCCCAAGACATTGAATGCCTCTCCAAGGTCGATTGATGGGTTGGCATCCAAGAGATTTGTTGGTTTGGAGGTGGCTGATTGCGATATTTCCGGTTGGGGGTAGCATAATTTTTATCGTGGTCGACTAGGCTTGACAAGGTCGTAAATTGGTTTGGCGATTCTTGAAAAGTTCTCAATATACCGACGATAATAGTTTAGGAACCCCATTAGTTTACGGACTTTGTTTGCAGTCTTTGGTGGTATTTCTTTCATGCGAAGAATTGGAGCAACCGTCGATTGGTCCAAATTGTATCCTCCTTCTGACATGATTCTTCCGAGAAACAAAACCTCGCGTTTAAATATAGTACATTTCTTCGGTTTTAGTTTGACACCGTGTGCTTTAAGGCGTTGAAGCACTTTCCGAAGATGTTCATTGTGTTCGTCAAAAGATTTACTGAACACGATAATATCGTCTAGGTATGGTACACATGTCATCTCGTAGATCCCCCGAACATGTTTCCATGAAACGCTGGATGGAGGCTGGTGCATTACATAGCCCAAATGGGATCCGAATCTGCTCATACAGTCCCCATGGCGTGACTATCTACTTGGCTTTTCTTGTTCAACTCACGGTAATCGACACACAGGCGTAGGCTCTGAACCTTCTTTCATACACAAACCACAGGCGAGCTATAAGATGAAGTCGATCTGCGAATAAAGTTTTTTATTCAACAAGTCTTCGATATATGCTTTCACCTCTGGATATAGTGGTCGGGGCAGAGCGATATGCTTCTTCTGAACAGGTGTGCTATCGTTGAGTTTGTTATCCATTTGAAGCTCTGTGATGCACCCGACATCATTATCATCTATGGCAAAAACATCAGCGTCTTCGATAAACAGCTGCGTGCCAGCTTTTATTTCCTCACTGTTCAAATCTCCCAAATCCACATGTCCAAGTGTTATGGCCAGTTCGCTGTTTGGTGGTCATCATTGTTGTTAGGGAATTTAGCTTCTTCATTTAATTTGGAACACGACTTTTCATCGTTATCTGTCTGTAATTTCACCTTGACTGGAGTCACTGATTGAATAAGTTGTAGGCGCTACAGCACCGTTCTGTTCCGTAATACTATGTCATGCTTGGTCGTATTCTTTACTTCTACTTCCACTCGGCTAGATTTCCCTGCCGTTGCTGTCAACATTGTGTCCGAAACGTGGAGACCAGACGGCCACTGACCGTTCTCATCAGCTTCGAATAAAACTGGTGTGGGTTTACCTAGGGGACCAGTATTCACTTTTCAGCTCATTTTAAGAGATTTTCCCGAGGTTTTACAAGGCATCATTCATCGTGGTTTACTCCGTTCACGAGATCAAAAAGAGCAGTCACATCAGAAACATTTCCACCAAATAAAGCAGTTTCCAATTGCCATCTCCTTACCTTGCAGATTATTGACTTTTTCAAGTGTTCTATTGCATTGAAGCCAATCAATGAAAGTTACATTTCTTCACTTGCTACTAGAAAGCCAACGGAAAGTCCTTGCTCAGAATCGCCAATTTGGAGATCCAGTTCAACCCATCCTTTGTACGGTATGCTACTACCGTTGGCAACCAGTAATTCACTAATATCTCTAACCAACACGTTAGGAAAGTTCCTCTTTGTGAAGCTGACCAAAACAATAGAGATTTAGGTCCCGGTGTCCCACAGAATCTCTGCTCTTTTCCCGTTAAGCTTTGCTTTGATTGAACATCTCCTGCCTACCAGGCTAACTATCTTTTGGTGTTGTTTTGGAGTCAGATGGCTGACGAAAATACCCCAAGTCGCGTCTTCTGCCGTCTGTTTCCTATTTTGGATTTGCTGCTTAATCGCGTTACACAATGTTCTATGCTGTGGCCAATGATTTTGTTGGCACTTCGCACCACAGTAGTTTACAAGCTTACAACATTCACAACGCCAAAAAATCTGCTCCAAAACTTGATTGCAGCCGTTGCACTGATGGGACACTTTCTTTTCTTCGGCTAATCCCTGTCCTTCCGTTTCCCTGATTCTGTCGAAATATATTCTTCTCACACTCTGAAGCGATGTGTCCCAACTCTCCACGTGCGAAACAGTGTCTGCATGTGGCTCCAAGTTTACGTTTTTTTGCAAGCTTGACATCCTCGTCCACGGAACCGCGTGATTTTCGGTGGTCCCCGATCGTTGTATTGTCTTTCGGTACGTAATCGCTTCGAGTGGCTTGTTGTCGTTTCAGATTTTCTACTTCCATCCTCATTTCCCGAATTTCTGCCAGAATTTGTTGGTTGCTGTCAATAGATTTCTTCGACTCATCAACTTCGCATGAGTTAATTTTGGCAGCCTTCTTTCAGATGCAAGCTTGTTTTGTCTTTCCGCTTGTTGGGATGCCAACTCGTTGACGTTTTTCATTAAGTCTTCATCTGTCAACGGGGATGATCGAAGAATGGGTCGCAAATTCGCTGCGAGAATATCGTCTCGAAGACCGGTCTCGAAGGGTTTCATCAAAGTATTTTGGATTATAGGTTCATCGTAGTGCACTTCGCAGTCTGATTCTTGCTTGCGAACCCTACTTTGTTACGTAAGTCTAGTGCGCGAAGAAGGGACTGCTGTGCTGTCTCTTTCGGGTGTTGAAAGATCGTAGCCATGCTGTTGGTACAGTTCAGATGCAGATTTCTCTAGATGATGCACCCGAAGGATCTTTCTTAGTTTGGGCAGGGACAAATCATTCACTGTTTTGACGTAACTACGCAAACTGCTGTGCAAGGAAATAGCGCGAATCACAGCATCGACAATTTCGCATTTATACTGGCGCTTTAACCCGGAATCGATTTGATTGAGTGAGTGACACAAATGTTAATTTTTCCGCGTGGCTTGGTTCACCAATTTGTCCTGAAATCTTAAATTCGCGACACAAAAATGACTCACTGGCAGAAAGTTTTGTTTCTTTAGGGCTTTCTACTTTATCTGCGTCATCTTTTGTCTCGTGCGCTGTTTTTGTCGCCAGTTTAGACAACATCCTGTCCATTTCCGTTTGTTGTTTTAGTTTTAATTCCTCAATTTGCTGCTTTTTTCGCTTAGCGCATCATCGGCTACGTTTTCCTGCGATTCAGGTTTCAAAGACTTATTTGCGTTTTGAACCCACTCGACTTTCTGTGCCAATTCCCCCTCTGCATTTAGCCTTTGTTCGATCGACTTTTGAACAAGTTTCGTTGCGGTTATTTTGCCTTTACCCGCGATTTCAACGTCTGCTTTTATCGAAACCGCGAATTCTTTTAATTCACCCTGGTTTCTAGTGTATAGTAGGGACTCTAGCTCAAACTGTAACACTTCAAGATCTTCCGTAGCAATGCTGTTCAATACAAGCGTCTACGCGCATTTTGCCGTTTCAACAATTTTTGCGAGATTTCATAACAGTTCAATCATACAAACTATAGTATACTAGCATCAAAACACTGTTCTATTATCTATAATAGCAATGTTTTCGTCCTAACTTTAACGCGAATTCCCGATTCATGCAATCTGTTTAACTCTTCCCATCAACATAATTTCTGTTACAAAACAAATTGAAACGATCTCACCTCGAATATGTTGCGCCGTCTTGACTCATCTCGAGGATAAATAGCCTTGTCCTGTCAGGGTCGCCAAACGTTAGCCTCGTTGCTACAGGCCCTTGTAAATTATATATATCACGTTGTGCTCCAAATCTTTATTAGTACTATTTTACAATCCAACAGTGGTTATACACTTTTAACTTCTCTATATCTGACTTCAGACTACAAATCCATGCGTATGATATACGATATCCCGACTTGTCATTTTGTCAGTTGTCAACCTACGTCACAACCCAACTAATTGTACATAACATGTACAGTTTAATAGTACAGCTTAACATGTGCGCCATGTGAAAGAACGCTCAAAAATGCCATATATACAATTCAGGAAACTTGAGCAAAAATGTCCGTGCGAAACATTGTGCGGAACTCTAGCCATCTATTGCGAACCCGGTCGCAAAAGTTCGTGCAGCTGGGACTTCACGTCGTCGAGGTATCGACTTCACTTTGGAAGACTCACGAAACACCGATCGTTTTGGGCCTTTGGGATCGTTGAGACTCTATTATCAAGAATAATGTCGAAGTATAGCACTGGCGAGGTGATTATCGGTGAATAAAAACCGAGACGAAGTCGAGGTTTTTATTCACGATAATCTTGAAAATTTAAATTTAATACACAAGGCAAAATATAGTATTGTATAAATTATATTATATGCGTATATACAATTATTTCATATTTCTTTCATATTTTATACACCGGGCACATTATAAATATTATAGAGCGGCTTTCATTGCCAGTAGCTTAGTGGTTTGATCTATCGAGCTACATTTTATTTTGTCATATTTGTCGTGCTAACACGCTGTGAGAGATCAAGACAACCGCCTTTACATTTAGCATCGAACTGTGCCACACTAGAGACAAACAACCTATCAATATATCAATAGAAACTTTAAAATGCTTATAAAACCTCATAAATTATAGAAGTAATGTCATGTTTGTGCGAAAGAATTTGTGCGTATACATGCAGAGTTTATGAATTATTTATATATCCCTGACAAAATGTATATAGAGACACGTTATACCCACTGATCTACTATTAGATCAGTGGTTATACCATGCACGTATAATAAAAAATACTTTGCTAAACCTTATCTGTCATTATTCACATGGCAAGGTATAAAAGGCGGGGTAAATAATATTTTGTCTTCAAATGTTCAACAACACTCATGCAGCAAAAAGGGAAAAGCATACAGTTGTCTTATAAATCTGTATACTGTAGATTCTCTAACAATTTTTGTACCTTATACACTCTTTCGTACAAAACCCAGTGTTTAATATAAACGATCAATATTTTCAAATAAAATCAGTAGGATATATAAACAGTCTATAAAAGGTTTTAGAATGAATAAAATGGACATTCAATGTCCATTTGCATATATTTGGCTTGTGTCCAAATGCCCTTTGGCTTGCCGAAACTTAGATCTCAAAGGCTTCGACCTATAAAACATGCAGTCGCTCTCGAGACCTCTGGCTCTTTTGAAATTAACAAGCAAATCAATGCAAAGTTTATACCGTTTCCAGATAACAATTCAGCAACATATTGTAAGATTATAAATAATGTAAACCAAAGGCAAAGCAGAATCGTGTGAAATGAAAGTGCCTTTTATAAGTGTGCCTCGAGAGAACAGAAGAACAATAGAGCATATGATTAGACATTTTTATTGCTTTATTTTGCTATAAAAATCTGTTTAGCATATTTTTTATAATTCAAGAGCAAACAGAAATCAAATTTAGAAAGTATTTTGACGAATGTGTGATCAAAGTGATACCAGTAAAATCCTGTGCTTTAGATAAGACATCACTTCTTGCGGTCGAAGTGTAAAGTGCGAAAGTGGAAAAATAGAAGAAGTAGAAGTTAAAAAAGTAAGTAGGGCGCGCTGGGGTGCATTGCGGCTCAAAACATGTTAGGAGAATAAATGAAATTGCCTTTTTGTTGTGCAGTACAGTTGCAACATGCTTGCACATACATAGGCTACCTGGAGATATTTGTTAGTGGTATTAAGTTTCCTTGTAAGATCCTTAATGTTGCATGCATATATAATATATTCTCATTTTTTGCCGCTTGCAGGGTGTAATATATTCTCATATTCTGCCGCTTGCAGAAAATCCATTTTGAAATTCAGCATGCTGAGAGAATAAAGGCGTGTTCAACGCCACAGCTATTGGCAACCGGATCTGTAGAAGAGATAAGTCCACTGGCCCTCATTGCAGAGAGTATATGGTATTGTTGTCAAATAAAGAGGAAGTACTATAATCAGCATTCTTACATGCTTATTAGCAGCGTATTATGTTTTTAATTAATGCTGAATACAGCAATGGCTTTGGCAATGTTCCTCGAACATATTCTGCTGGGAAGGATTGGTCAAACTCTGCCAATCGGTGTTGAGAACTTTTTAGCACTATTGTGAAGAACACCAAGTGTGTAGTGGACTATACAACACAAGCTAGAACTAAGATTATATGGCGAACGATTGTTGTAACATATTGTAATAATGAGAGATTGAGAGTGCACAAGCACGGTTGCATGGTGATCGCGATCTAATTAATGCTAACCTAAGTGCTTAGCACTTCAACCATACTTGAGTAAGTATGAGTGAGCATGCATGCGTATATAATATTGTTACAATGATTACCACTAATCTTGCCGCATCGATCTTACAATCAAACAAATAGCACCAATTAAACAACAAATTTAGTTAAACAAACAAAAATAAGAATCTATTTAGACTGAATCATTTTTTCATATATATAGCTGCAAGAAATTTAATATGTGGAAAACGATAGACAACTTGTATGTTAGGCTACTTTTTCAAGTAGGCAAAAAAAAGTAAATTTTCGCAAACAACTTATTAAAATGAGTAAAATTGCAAAATTTGGTTACGAAATGTTGTAAAATCCGGAAAATATAGCTTTGCGAAGTTTGCATATTTTGGCCCAGAACCAACGGCGCAGAACTAATTCCACCAGGCCATTTTACATCCGGGGAAAGGAAACTAGCAAAGTGTAAAGTTCATCAATAATCGCAGTCGCATGGTGTATAGGTGGTCATCTCACTGATGTTAAAATATGGTTGTTTGCCAGGAGTGAACGAGGCAAAAATATTTAAAAACATGCAAGAAAGCTTGGAAAATCGTTTCACATAACAAATTGTAAAAGTTTTTTTCAACTTTTAAACGAAAACATTAAGAATTGATTTAGTATGAGAAATCTTAAAGTAGAACGCAAGTTTGTTTCAATTATTTATGTAGAACTTTGAATTATTATAGTCTATAGACTGATGTACAAAACATGTACAAAACAGTGAACCAATTAGCTCCACAAAGGCTGAGTAACATTTTGCAATTTTCCAACACTGTTAATAGTTATAATCTAAGAGGTTTTTCAACTGGGCTTTTTATTCCAAGGCCCAGAACAGAATTTTTTAAAAAAAGTTTCAGTTACAGTGGGGCTAAATTATGGAATAGAATACCAGAAAATATTCGAAATTCGATATGTTACAACTCGTTTTGTAAAAACCTTTTCTCCTCGGCCTCTGCCTCTCAATTATTAAATTAAGTAGTTTAGTTAAGTGAATATTTAATAGCATTTACATAATAACAGTTTGTATGTATTAGTAAATTAGTTTTAAAATGGTAACAATTAGTCAGCACACCTCTCATGGAAATCAGCAATGTTTAATGAGATTAGTGTGCCTAAAAAAAGTTTATCTATCTATCTATCTATCTATCTATCTATCTATCTATCTATCTATCTATCTATCTATCTATCTATCTATCTACAGACTTTGATTTTATTGTTCAAGTCCTTCTTATTTATAAAAGTTTTATTCGTGGAAAAGTCTTTCTTAGTGTCCAAGTTTCTTAGTTATGCTTTATAGTTTGTAGAAAAGTTTATACTGTAGTTCATTTATCTTTTGTAGAAATTCATCATAAAAAGGAAAGCAAGTTATTTTCATTGATGTCCGGTATGAATTAAATTTTATTTTATTTCAAAGTGCGATTATTAAGTTGAAGCTCGAGGAAGTAACCTTATAAACATTTTGTTTAAGGAAATCGCTTTGTATTCAGATGAGGAATGGAACACGACGCGGATTTGAGTAGGCTTCTTTGGATGATAGACACCAAAGTGTGGTAAGTACCAAACTCGACCCATGGCACTATTAGATACCAAATGTGGGAGTGGAACCTTCTCTTGTCTAGGATCTTTGCCATAAATGCAAGATAATCTCTCTTCAACTCGGGTTTCCTTTTAAATGACCGCAACATATTGTTCAAACGATTAAGTGCTTGATGTCGGTTATTAGGTACTTGAGGTACTTTCTCGCGGAAAGGTAAAGACATCTCCCAATTTCCGCGTTTATTCTTGTGAGTACTGTTATTCATGATCTCCAAAAAGCGATGGCCTTTTTGAGACAGGCTGACTTAAGTCTGATTATCTTTGACAGTGGTACGATAAATGTCGGGGACTACTTCTTTAACGACGAAATGATTCAGACACGGAGTAATACCTTAAGTCAGATTATTATTTGAGTTGTTTGCAGCTCGTTCATTACCACGCGACTGTCCAGGCTGACTCGGAATGTCGGAAGAAATTACGGTTCTCTTCATTGCAACGTGAACTGGTCCACCGATCCGGTCGAGACATACTTGTCCGGAGATTGTCTATCCCAACTTTAGCTTTTGAACCCTGCATGGGGGTCCTCGTGGACCGTTTATAAATGCTCTAACCTTTAATAGCTCTGGCGCATCACGACGGATGAGGATTTCGATGTTAGCATTTGTATCAATAGGGGTATCTGGCGGCGATAGTTCTTAAATGCTTGAACATACGGGCGATCTTGGGATCTCGCTTTTATCTCGATGTAGATCCCTGTTCACCTTGTATTGATTTCGCATTGAGGCCCACGACACAGCGACCATGTTCGATTTCGTTTTCTGCGTTGCAGGTTGATAGTAAATACCGTTCGACACAGCGACCATGTTCGATTTCGTTTTCTGCGTTGCAGGTTGATAGTTGTTGTTCACTTGCTCCATGTTTGTTCGCTAATTCTGGGGAAATCATAGACGCATTGCTTTGGTCGTCGATAATAGCGTAGATGTTGTGGCTCTTTCTTTAGGAAGATGTACAGTAAGATTATCTTTGCACACGATAGTCCTCCTCATTTTTATTGGCAAACTGATGTACATTTTGCACACGATAGTCCTCCTCATTTTTATTGGCAAACTAGATAGTCCTCCTCATTTTTATTGGCAAACTGATGATGCGACCTTCTTGGCGACCTTCTTCTTGCCTTTTCTTCCGTCTTCTTTTTCCTTCTCCACATGTAATTCTTCCTGGTGCTTTCACTTTGATTGCACTTAATGACCAACTTGCAGGCACTTGCTTGATGACCAGGAGAAAAGCATCAGAAACAAAGTCTGCTTCGTTTGATCCATTCCATTCTTGCACTTAATGTCTTTCGTGCGACGGTTTTGCAAGTTGTTAGATCGTGGCCCTTTTTGTAATGAAAAGGATATTTGTTTTCTATGTCTTTCATGATGACTTCTTCATCGTCTTCAGATTGATCGTGAGGAAGAGGATAAGTTGTTGTCTTTAACACTTTTGCTTCTGGATCAAAGGCTAAATTCTGACTATTCTCGTACTTATACTTAGAATATTTAGACGCATAACTGAGACTGGCTAGAATATTCGGATGATTTTTTAATGTTGTTTCTGTACGATAATTGTGAATTTATGGAATCCTGGATAGGCATTATAGTTTTCCTGGATAGACATTTTTATAGAATCCTGGATAGACATTATACTTCTTTTCCCACTTTGAGCGCGCGCAGAGATAAAGGTAAGTTTTCTAATATTGGACTTATTGCGTTAGGATAGTTCAAGCAGGCTGAACTTGAGAGGGACTCCAGTTGATTGTCCAGTTCGGAACAGACATCGGCAAATCTTTAAGCTTCTTGTTCTTTTTCTCGATAATTTTTTCTGTTTTGAGCATCTTTTTCATGAGATTGCTAGCGACAAGTACTTTGTTACCGAACTGTTTTTCTAACTCTTTCCAAGAAGAACAGACTCAAAAGAAGATTGGGATCGTTGTGATGCCTTGTGCGATAACTGTCAACGAGTTTCCGTGCTTCTCCCTGAGTATACTATCGAAGATAATCGATTTCTTGTTCGGGTGGCACTTATGCGTTTTGGGTCAATGCCTTGAATGTTATCTTCTACGGATGGAATAGTGTGGCGTCACCATTAAACATATCTGGTTGGCACTTGGGAACGGCTTGTCATGGCAAACTTGCTGTAAGCTGCTTATACTGTTGACAATGGCATTAAGGGCATTCTGTGGTCTCTGGCTGGCGTCTGCCTTGTAGGTTGGTGCGGTGAATTCACTCTGGTGCGAAGTTTTCTGTTGGCATACTGGGCTCTGGTTTCCAGTTAGTCCAAGATTTGGGTTACTTAGCATTTCTAGTGGGATTATGTTTGGATCTCAAGGCATTTTTAATACCATGGACTGGTGGAGCATTTGCCCCACTGGGCCCCTTGCTCTGCCCCACCACTGAAGAAAAAAAATGGCCTATTGCTCCAAAGTCAGGGCCCTAGGACCTGTATATTGAGTAAATGAGTTTTACATTGAAAAGAAGTCTATGTTGTGTTTGAATGTTTTGCATGCAATTTATTACAAACTTCGCCATTAAAACTTTGTTTTGTGAAGCTAAGATTTTTTAAAATGTGTTTTCAGAATGCAGGAAAAACTCGTGCCTGCGGTACTCGGCTCACACCTTCGACGATGCAAATATTTTTCCCGTAGACAGCCGGACGTACTCCTCGTAGATAGTGGGATGCATCATTGACCCATGCCCTTAAACAAAACATTTTGAGAATACCCTTCTTATTAGATGCGCTTCTCAGCGTGTTTTGCGTGGGCAATTGGTTTGGATTTCAAATGTTTGAGTTGCCAAAATATGAGCAGGACACATTGTGGCTTCATATCTTGTGGTGATCACATCTGACATATTTATTCAGTTATATTCGCCTTTCCCACTTGCTTTTCTCGCTTTTGTAACTCTTTTTGCAACTCTTTTGAATTTTTTGCTTTTGTAAACTCTTCGTAAGTTTCGTTGTTTTTTATTCCATCATTCTGAACAAACATTGCAATATCTTCCTGAGCGATTGCAGAGTATCCATCCATATTTTAAGCTATGCCTTTCAAACATCATGGATACGATGTAGTAAATAATACATCTCATTTATTCTCAATAGATTAATAATAAATAAATAGATTGATAGATTCTGATTAAAATCCCATGGTGGCAAAGGTAGCTACGAGGCATACAGTGACTTAGCATTAATATATTAAATTGTCATAGGGTTAAAGGTACAGTAGCTCTATATTTTAGTGGATACGCGGATACATGAATATGTAGGCAAGTCTTTATTTGGAGAATGAGGCATATTGGCATACGGTTAGATTAGCATTAATAGATCAAATTGTCATGCTATGGGTTGCTCTATATTTTAGTGCGGTGGATACCCGGATAGGCAGTTAACTAGTTATTTTGGCTTTCTGCCTTATATAACGTAGCATTACGATGTTTTCAAGCATGATTCTGGCTTAATTGAAAAAATCGTCTCACAATCGTTTTTGGAGACGAGACCATGTTTTTTAATGCTGCATGACGTCCGATTTTCGTCATGGGATTTGAGGTTGGCATTGCAATTAATTTTCTATGATCGCTGAAAGTTTATGCCCCCCTCCCCCCGTTTATCACGCACGTAGAGGTCCTGGTTAGAAATGCTAAGAGAGCAAACACATGCTTGCTTGCCATTTATGTGCATGGTCAACTGTGTCACGGTGTAATGTTCCGCACAACCGGACATTGGTGTTTGACAGATTATGATTAATTAGCGTCGCTGGGAAAAATAATTTTATGTTATAAAGCATACTAAACATATAGTACATCAAACATATATTAAAAGTCTTTCATGATATTTCCTTATAGCATTAATTCGTAATATTGTGTTAGTAATTAGTTTGTGTATATTAAAACAAGGCAATAAGAACTAGTATATACGTATCCAGTGAAATAGTGGCCGGGCTACATGATATATTTCTATTTTTTGTGTGTTGGTGTTGCTCAGAGTAACATCACAAACATGATATTACTGCTGGACGAGTTTTCTGCTATACTTCCTTTCTTCAATGGGGATAAGATATAGTTTACCTCGCAATAACCGTTTTTGAGTACCTTATTACAGGAATTAAAATTAACGATGCACTTTATTAACGCGGATTTTAAAAATTCGCGTTAATTAATTAATTTTAATTTATGTTATAGTTAATTTCAAGCATGCAAATTTTAGTTATCGTTAATTAAAAAGACGTTGATTTGTTTGATATATAAACACGAACTCTTTTAACTCAAAATACTAATATATACTACTATATCGTATTAAACCTTGTCACTGTCGGCAGAACCTTAAGCTCAACTATATTTTATATACATTGGCTTAAATTACTTTAACGTTTACAGTTTTGACATATCTACTTGCGTACAGTTTTAATCGGTAGTATATATAGTATTACGCTTTTGCTGTTATGTTTATACAACGTCCGTCGCAGGGACTTTCCACCGGCTGGGAAAGACCCTGCTATCGGCTGGTCACGTGTCTCCCAGAATCTGGGAGATAACAAACAATTTCAATTAGGGTGGGTACCTAAGTACGTTTTGTCATTGAGCAAGGAGTGAGCGAAGAAATAACCCAGAAATCATGCAGGAAATATTTACAAAATTGTATATTTTATTTGTCATGAATACTATCAATGTTACACAATAGTGAATATCAAATTTCATTGTGCGCAGAATGACGGTGAGCAAAGATAGATCAGATTTCAATAGACAAATTATGCCGATACAGCTCGTCGAAGAAATCAACACGTCGCAAACGTTACAAGAAAATATATTTCTACACCAGTACCGACCGATGTGGCTGTTATTTAGCTGTTGATGTCTATCCTAAAGGATTTATTTAATACTGAGATGTGTAACGAAATATTGAGATCTTTTGATTTCTGAAATATCGCAAACTATGTTGCTTTGTAAACAATGCCACTCGGACTGCTGAAACTTCAGAACCATCCTCAGAGATACGAAAAACCAGAATCTGTTGAAACTTGATGCTCAAGAAATACGGTAAAATAATCCGACAATAGCCTACTCAAAGATGAGTGAAAGACTCGTCTGTGCGTGTATGTTACAAATACGAATACTGTATATGTTTGACATTTAGGACATTTAGAGAATACAGTCCGCATGATAAATTTGATAAATAGCTTTAATTGTGACATTAGCTTTACTGTAATGAAATTACTTTACCGTAATAAAGTACTTTGTGAAATATAATACTGAATCAAACTCTAAGACTATGTAAGTGTTACAGTATTATATCTGTGGTGGGTACATATGCATATCAGACTGAGTGTGATATGAGTGTTTATGCCGTGGCTTATGCCGTTGTTTATTCCGTGGTTTATGGAATTATCTATGACTATGTTCATATTATAAAGTGTGTACTGTATATAAGAAAAATACTGTTATAAATATTGATGTTACCCGATTACTTAGTGCATGGAGGCCAAAAAATTATCAGGCTAAAGCCGTGATTGTATATACCACCTGATGATACACGCCCTGGGCTGAAAATTGTTGTACTTTACTACCTGCCAACCTCCTACCCTACCGATCTACAGAGTTTTTTAATAAATATGACGAACTATTTAATTAAAAGTATTTTCAAAGATAAACCATCGACAGTTTTAAAGTGAGTATTTAGTCTCTGTTCGGCAGTGTCGGCCACATGTTTACATTGTGATTTGTGACAAAAAGTTAATTACATTTCAAAATTCTATCAACCTTCACTATAAAATGAGACGCGTACTATTAGTTAAATCTGCACAAAGTTTATCCACCTTTTCAAACAACAAATCTAATGTCATATTTTCGGAACAGATAAAAGTGAAAATGTACAAACGTTGAGGACT